AGCTATGAATTTTTGAAAAATAAAATAGTCTAATTTTTAATTGTTTATATCTCGATTAATTTTGCAATAAGAAAAAAATCCTTTGGCACAAAATTCTATCTTCCAAAGTACTACCTTTGTGCAAAATTTAAAAAATTTCTGAGAGATGACTGATCCGCTTCACGTGGAATGGCCTATATATATATAGAAAAGTAAAAAAAAAAAAAATATATATATATATACACAATATAATGTCCTCTAAACAGATTTTTAATAAAATTTTATCTATAGTTACTCACAAAAAAATCCCAAACTTAGATATCCTTTAAGGCCTCAAGGGTGGTGTAACCCTTTAAATGTATTAAATGTAACAATTAGATGTAAAAGTGATGTGAAAAGATAATCTCTTTCTAAGAAGATAAAAATAGATCTTTCGAAATTTTCAATAAAATCCGTAATTTAAATCGAAGAATTTTTATAGTCAACAACTCGGACCGTTCGTACAAAATATACCTTACGCTGCAAATCTACGCGATGGAATCGCGCGCGCGCGACACTTCACATAATTGTGCCACCAGATACGCGATCGTAATTCCACACAATTACCGCACAATGGTCGAATTACGTGTCTAAAATGCAAGCCGCAAAGAGGCGCTTCGCGCCATTTCGCGAGACAAAGGCATCCCGCGTCCCCACGTCCGACCGATCTACTTTAATATAAACGGTAAATGACCCGCGTAACTCTTCTTCCTCCTTCCCGGAGGAGGGGGGAGGCGCTACCCTTTTTGCACCCGCGTAAAAATTGCATTCGTGGATTTTCGTCGTCGTCGAGATAATAAACGATTACATCTTCCTTCATGTCGCGTGCGCGCGCTGTAGGACGGCGTGCGCGAGCCAGGACGCGCATTACCGTAAACCCGAAATTATAGCGCGGATTTATGGAAAAAAAGAGGAGGGAGAGAGAGGGAGGGAGAAACAGAACGGAAGAATAGCGGCATGATAAACGACAGGGCGTACATTTTGCAGGCCGAATTGCGAATATTACGAGCGCGCGGATTACGAGCGGTCGCGCCGAATGGAAACGCAACTAGCGGCTGTCCGCGTGCTCTTCCATCACCACGATATGATATGGAGCATTCAGAATCGTCGATCATACCGGAGAGAAAAAATTCCAAACCAGAATTAAGAAACAAAATATCGAAATAGAACTAACTGATAAAAAGGGGGTATGATCTTTCGCTTTTGATGGAATTTATATTTAAAAAATTTAATAAAATATGGATAAGTACCCAGGAATTTGTTAGAAATTTAATAAAATATAGATAAATATTCAGGTAGAATACAAAAATCATAATATCATTATGAAGTTATATGATAAGAACTTCATTATGATTTGATTATTTATCATTTATAAATACGACGCTATGTCTTTCATTGTAAAGAACAGTCTTTTATTTCAGGTAGCTGTCCTTTAGATTTATTTACTTTATCAAAACTTAATTTTGTCCTTTATTTTAACAATTATGAGAAATTCTTTTCTAATTAGCGTTGCAATGTCTATTGTCGTAATATACTAATAAGCGAAATTTTACGGAAACAATCGACGTTTGGTAAAGTGTACCGTAATTTGTTTTGTCTATTGCTAAACATGCTTTCCAATTTTTATATTCAAATTAAATCCATTTTTATTATTTTTTTAAATTTATTTTATTAATCAAGTAATAATTATTTATTATTTCAAACCTATTTAAACCACGGATTTGTTCCAATACAATCAAGTCAGTTTCAAACTATCAGAAAACTGCACAGTATTTCATTTGGTACAAGAAAAATTTCGTAATTGCGTAGACAGTTACAAACTGGAAACACGTAGGAACAAAGCCTTAAAATTTTCAGATTTGACCTTTATTTTGTCTAAAAAAAATATAATCACCATCCCAGATAACACAAAGTCTAAAATTGACATAAAACAACTTTGAAACATCTTTTAGATGTCTTTTAGACACTTCTGCGAGAACTATCTAAAAAATGTCTAAAAGATGACTAAAAGACGTTTTTGCATCGATTTTAGACTTTGTGTTGTCTGGGATATTTATGATAAGTCACAAATAATGTAAAATTTAACGTAAAATCATTACGACATCATTTGATATTATGTTCTGCCTGGGTAGAGTGAAGTATATTAGTACACAGCTTCGTATTTGATCGTATGATTCATCTATTTGTAATCAATATCACGTTACAATCCGAATATCCGCAAGAAGGATAAATCATGAACGCGCATACTAGTTCGACGAGTAAGCTTCGTCTGTTCAAAGTTTTTCTTTCTTCTTTCTCGACAACGATGAGACAAATCTTTGAAATATTAAAAAATATTCTCTCAACCTGATATATATCTTGTCTACATTTAAATATAGATAGCCCAATTTATTGCAATCGTGTTGCACGGGGATGTACAATAAAATACAATATACATATATATGTAAATCCTAAAAACGGTACGTGTACTTTGGCTCAAGGTTCCATGCCTACGGAAATTCGAACGTCCTCCATGCACGACTTGATTTACAACATTAATCCTACTTTAAGCACTTTGCGAATCAGTAAACGCCCCGGTACGAACAAGATCGCCGGCGATGCATTCGGTTCGTTTATACAAATCGGTTTTATCTAGATCGTTTCCAGAGAACTTTCCAGTTTCTTAATCAGCGTTTGTTCTTTACACCTTCGGGCAAAAAGTAGACGAATAGAGAGTTGACTTTTATTACGAAATTCCTCTTATGGAATATTCATTTATTTATTCCAAACGACTTCAAATATATTATTAATTTATATGGTATTTTACTCCATAAAGATATCGATAGAAAATCGATTTAATTTACACGTGGAATTTATAAAATTCCATTGAAATTAATCTATAAATGGAATTTCCATTCAAATATGATATTAAAAGATTCAATATAAAACAAAAAATATATATATACATATATAAAGATTAACAATAAATGAAATTTACTTAAAATTCGAAAAATAAAATAAGTAAAATTTTACAATTAATTCAAATATTACCACTATCATGTCGAAAAATAATTAATCATTTAATCTCATTTGTCAAATTACGTTTAAATGCTCATATTTAATTTATCTAACTTTTAACTCTGAAAAAATTTGTTTCAAGTAAATAATATTTATTATGATAAAAATAATTATCAGATAAAAATTTTGTATGTAAAATAGAGAATATTTATTTAAAAAAAACATTCACCATATAAGAAAAATAATTACTTCAAATTTGTACGGAAAAATATCAACGCAGTTGACAAAGGATCTAAAAAGATTCCATAAATTCTTTCAATCCTGGATTGGAAATCGTTTTTTCACACTTATCGCAGGCAGGTTATCTATGGACGGTGGATACCAAGCACGATGTATCATTTAGCCCTGTTTGTGGCCGCCCTACTATTTACCCTGCCGAAGATTAAAGACTTGATTCTTTACAATATGTCAGAAGAGTTTGTCACAGAAGCCATATTCTGTACTCTTAAGAAACAAATATCGTTTGAAAATAGACTCCACTACCTATTATGCGGAAAGTGCAAAATTCACCGTAATGATAATTTATAATGGACTACTTCTACGTACTAATTATAAAGTAAAAATACATTTAACAGATACAATTGCTTGTGTAACTGTAAAATATGAAAAAATATCACCAAATATCAATATATTAATTTCATGAAAATATGTGTTGTTAATTTCATGGAAATAAGCGTTGTTAAACGTTGATCGCATCATGAGATCTTTATGTCGCGATACAAAAACCGAGGTACCGATCAATTGATAACTGTGCAAAACTAATAACTCTACAGTCTCTTATCGCCATCGATTATCCATATTGTACAATATATATATATATATATATA